CACAGCCCTTTGGTAGGCTGTGGAACAGGCTATGGCAAGAACAAGGTCATGTGGCTGGGCCTGGGGAAGGAAATGGCTCCCAGCTACTCACTGAGGAGGCGGCAGACGGCAGCCACAGTCTGGAAGAGAGGCTTGGAGAAACTGGCCCGCAGACGCAGCACCCGACGGTTGGGCAGTCGCAGGATAACAGGTCGGTGCTGAGGCCCAAAGAAGAGGCGGGCGTCTGCCAGGATCCCGTACTTGTCCAGCGTCCAGTGTGTCTGCAGCAGCCACTGCCTCTTCTGCTCCCACCAAATGGCATGGTCAGACCAGTCCTGCTTGCGATCTGTGAGGACCCGAGGTGTCCATTGGCCTTTGGAGACCCTGCCAAGCCTCTTCATCCTGTCCCAGCACTGATGCCTCAGCGGGGCCAGCTTTGCTTGGCTCCAGAGTGATGGTGGAACGGTTGTTTGCTAGCTGACTCCCACTAGTCCTTCTGGGCTCAGTTGTCACATCATTTCCCAGGGGAGCCCCCAACCCAGAATATGGGTACCCCAAATCAATGACCTCACCTCATGCACTATTGAGTTTACTCCGTGCAGCTCCAAGTGTCTTCTGGGATGCTAGGTTCAATGCCCTTTCTCTATAGCTGTTTGTCTGTCTATCTTTTCTTTTCTTTCTTTTTTTCTTTCTCTCTCTCTCTTTCTTTTCCCCCCGCCCCTCTTTTAGTTTCTATGTGTACACAGGGTACAGGGTTACTCTCTGTACTCTCTGTTGCCCTGGCTGTCTGCTGGGACTTACGCTGTAGACCAGGCTATCCTTGAATTTACATATATCCATCTGCATCTGCCTCTCCTGTGCTGGGAATACAGGCATGTGCATGTGCCACTGGGCCCAGCTTCCTTTTTTTTTTTTTTTTTTTTTTTTTTCTAGACAGGGTTTCTCTGTGTAGATCTGGCTCTGGCTGTCCTGGAACTCACTCTATAGACCAGGCTGACCTTACACTCACAAAGATCCCCCTGCCCCTGCCTCCTGAGTGCTAGGATTAAATACCCAGAAGCCACCGCCCCTGGCTTCCTCTTGGGCTTTTGCTGTTAGTTTTTAAAACTTGAGGCAGGGTTTTCCTACGTGGCTGGGACTGCCCCTGTGTCTAGCAACCTTTCTTCTCTTCAGGAGACTGTCCCCACCTACTCTTTCTCTTTTCCCAGGGCTTTAGTCTGGAGCCTCTCCTCAGCCATGCCTGTCCTGGGGGTTGGGGAGGGTCTCCTGTTTTATGGCTTGTGCTGGAATGGCCTGGGCCTCTCTGCTCTAAGGGGCACGTTCATCGCTTCCTTCTTTCCAGACTCCTGTTCACCTGGCCCACTGTTGCCAGGGGTACATTCCCCTGTTGCTGGAACACTAAATGTACCAGGACTAGCCCCACCTTCCAAGCGCTGTGCTGAAACCTCCTGGCTGGACAGAGGCGTCCTTCCTCCCCAGATGATCCACACTCCTGCGCTATGCTTCACACTTCTAGTTCCACCTTGAGTTAATGTCAACATCACCTCTAAAGCCACCTTTTCTGTTTTTCCTGTCTGGCCTCTGGAGCCCTCATCATCTCTCCCACGGATAATTGGATGGTCTGCTTGGATCTCCCTAGCTGCAGTCTGCCTCCCCCTCAGACAAAGCATTCTGCAAAGGTCTTCCTTAAGGCGGCCCCACCCTTTGTTTCCAAGGGAAGCACCTCGTCCCTCAGAAGGTCCTCAGGGCCTTCCCAGGCTGTCAGGGCATTACTTGGCCTTCCTTCTAGCCTTGTCACAAACCACGTGTTTTTTACTGTCCAGACGCCCTAACTCAGAGCCTTCTCAAGTCCTTGGCTTCAATGCTAGGTCTTCCCTATTGTAGAGGCCTCTCTAGAAATCTGTTCTTCCTATTGTCAGGTCCCCCAAGGAAGCTCTCACCGTTTGGCACCAGCATGCAGGAAAGTTGACCTCACCACTGACTGGCAGTGGACAGGTGGGGATAATGCTCCTATTGCAGGGAGCTGAGGTTCTGGAATTGAAGTGACTTGGCCGAGGAGCCCAGTAGTGGTACGTGGTGAGGTCTACCTGGCTCTGTGTCAGCCCTTAGTGACCTCTCAAGCCCATCTGTCCTAACTTAGTCCAGATCAAGCTTCCAGCTCCATCTGACATCTAGTTTCTGAGGGACCAACACTCTGTTCCCTACTTCTGCTTTCACAGCCTTATTGGGCCCTGCCTCAGGCAGTCCCCTTCCCTGTCTCAGCCCCGTTATTTGGATATTGGGGCTTATCCTGCCGAGTCCCTCTGGTCCCTGGCTTGGACTACACACAGAGGTTTAGCTAAATCTAGAAAGCCTGCCCCACATCCCTGTCCCAACCCCAGAGGCCTTGGGCCAAGCTCATAGCGCGATGCCTTCCGGCTCAGGCTATCAGGAGCTCATGGTGGGATGTCTTCCGGCTCTGGCTATCGGGAGCTTTCCTGCCATCCTCCCAGGAAGTGAGAGCTCTCATTCTCTGCTAGGAAAGTTGAGGAGAAGCCCCCATGTGGCTTTCTGGGTGACTCTGGGTGACTGGTATCGCCCCAGCCTGCCCTGCCGTAACTTCCTGTGGGGGCAGGGCCTTTCACCCATTGTCACCAGCCTCTCAAGTAGTTGGCTGGGGAGGAAGTTTAAAAGAGTAAGCTCCCAGGTCCCTGAACCCTCCTAGCCATTCTTCAGACCTCAGGAACATAACTGAGGTCTCAGCGCAGGCAAGGTGTACAGGGGACCATGTTCTGTTTGTCCCTCGTAAACTGGACAAAACCAGAATGAGTTGGAGGAAGTATGGAAGGAGGGGAAGTTGAAGAAATGTCTTCTTTGGAACCAAACAATTAAGCTGTTGCCTGAGTCACTGTGACAAGGTTATCATGAGTGGCAGGGCAGAGGTGGCCCAGAAGTGCCAGGGATAGCTGTCATGACTGCCTGTGTGCCAAACTGGATATATGGGGTCACGAGGACTCACTGATCTCCTCCACGATCTTCAGAAGCACCCCACCAATGTGCGACTCCCCGGTGACTCGGAGGGTGACAGACTGGGCCTCAGGGTCCTCCTCGCCCACAAACACCCGCAGCTCCCAGGACGAGTCGATATAGTCCCCGGAGGCTGTCTTCATCCCCGCCATGGCTGCGGCTGCTTCTGCTGAGGCAAGGTGAGCAGATACTGGGACCCGCTGGGCTGCCTACAAATGAACAGGAGCCCTGTGTTAGCCTGGGTGGGTGGGTAGGCAGGCTTTAGGGGCACTGCCACAGACAGCTACTGTGATCAAGCCAACATAAGACCCTCTCAGTCATAAGTGGAGACCACGTTGTCCAATCAACTCAGGTCTCACAGAATGGGAACAAGGCCCCAAAAAGACTCACTCAGGAGCCCCTTGCTAGACGCCAGAACAGGTCAACTCTCCTCACAGCTCCTCCAAGCCCACCTATCCCAGCAAACAAGTCCCAGCCCACAGCTCATGGCCAGCACTCTAGCCCACACAAGCCTCTGGGGAGGTGGCAAGTGTGGTTGCCGTGCACAGAATGGCTGCGCAGGGGACGAATGGGTCCCTGGTCTTGCACTTACCTAGCCTGCAAGGGGCTGCAGCTGCAAGTGGCTGTGGAGCACCTGTTATTCCTGGTCTGGGGCTGCCTTGTCCTGCTTTGTTGCTTCCTTCAGAGATCAGCCTGTGGTGGACTTATCAAGAAAGTTGTGCTGGTCCCTCCCCAGGGCGGGCTGCTGCTGGGTACAGGAAGCACACTGCCAGCACGCAGAGGGCTCCACGGGGCCCTTGCTTCTGTTACCACAGGAAGTGAGGGAAGAACAGAGCTGGGTGACACCAAGAAGCTCTCCCCAACCCACTCCTAGGCGTCCACCTATGGCCAGCTGCAAATGGGATTTCCTACCCCCAAATAGGATGTTTCTAAACCTAGCAGCTTTAGATCTACCGAAGTGGGCAGTAACACGTCAGGGCCTCTGTTCCCCAGGCAGAACCTCTCTGCTTGTCAGGAAACCTCCAGGGCGCCTTGTGCAGGGCTCTGGTGGCCTGACAGCCTCAATGCTAGGCCTGGCACTGGGATGCAAACTGCTCTCAGTGCAAGGCTCTCAGTGCTGGCTAAGCAGGGACCCAGGTTTTCAGTTAATTATGAAAAGTGAGGCTGTTCATAGTATCTTTAAAAATATGTGCATTGGTGTTTTGCCTGCATGTCTGAGATCCCCTGAAGCTGGCATTAGAATTGTGAGGTGCCATGTGGGTGCTAGGAATTGTACCCAGGTCCTCTGGAAGAGCAGCTAGTGCTCTTTGCTGGTGAGCCATCTCTCTAGCCCCAACCCCTTTTCTTTTTGAAGGGGTTTCTCTGCGTAGCCCTGACTGTCCTGAAACTCAGTCTGTAGACCAGACTAGCCTTGAACTCAGAGATCCACCTGCCTCTGCCTCCTCCAGTGCTGGATATTAAAGGTGTGTGCCCTCGTACTCCAGTTAAGGCTTTCTAAGTGTGGGTAGGGAAAGCTACTTTGGGGAGTCCCAAGAGGCGGGACAGGAAACCAGTTTATGCATGAATACAGGACATGGAAGTAGAGCTTGCTGCTGGCCTCAGCATCTTGCTAGCCCAGAAAGCAGCCTTCTGGGAGCAAATAAGGAAGTTCAGTGTTGGCCAGTGTGGAAGGAAGACAGTGGTATGGAGCTCAGGATTAGGGCGGCAGCTGTTGACGGTAGCTCTCAGAAGGTACGATTCCTGATCCATCTTGGGCGTAGGTTGGGATTTGTGTTCTCTGCATCTAGCTGCTTGACTGAGACATGCACAGAACAGCGTGAACATCAACGCAAAGCTGATCAGCTGTTGAGCAACACTTCCACCTGGTGGCCACTCTGACAAAGCCAGCAGTTCACTTTTCAGCACCTTCCTTTCAAAGCCACCAAGAAAAGGTGGCCATGTTCATTCAGAATGCTGGCTTCCAACTCCGTGCTAATGGTGGGTCTTTAGAGAAGAAAAACTCACTGGAGACCATATCAACATATAACCACGCCTGATTGGCTTGTTTTATTGAGGAGGAACATGGGGTAACAAGTGAAGACAGCTGGGACCCTAGATTGGGAAGAATCCCCTCCCCTCCCCCGTATGCACCCACTGCCCCAAATAAAAAATAACCAACTATAGGGGAGCAGCCGAGACAGTGACGGGGTGGCTGGGGGAGTGGGCAGGGAAGGACACTGGGAACTGAGGGCAGCAGTGAAGTGACCATGCGTGTGCTGGGAGGGCCCGTGGTGGCGCTGGATGATTCTGTCTTCCTTGCAGGCATGTATAAATATAAAGATAAGCTTTTCTTCCCCGCCTCCTGCCCAGTGCTGCCTGCCACCATCCCAGCTCGCCTTTCCTCGTTGGCGAAGGGAAGAAGGAAAAAGCAAGCTATCACCGAATTGCGATCAGACCAACATCCATCAGCTTCTGGATCTTCTGTGCTATTACAGGGTTCTTTAAGTGTCTAGGAAAAAAAGATGGAGTTACCAGAAACTTGTTCCTACAGAGCGGCTATCTCCCTCCACCCAGGTTCCCTAGAATTCAGGGCATGCTCAAAGACCCTGTGCAGGCAGCGGTCCTCTTCAGGAGACATGGCAAGGAGAATCTGCATGCCCTACTGTATGCCTGCACAGCTTTAAACCTAGAAAAAACAGCCTTCACAACAGAATCTTAGGCTGTCAGACTAACAGGAAAAGAAAGCTCAAAGACTCGCTGCACTGCCAACTTTTTCTGCTATAACTTGGGGCTAAAGATATGGCCCAGTGGTTATTGATGGAGATGACTCAGAGCACTACTGCTCTTGTAGACCTTGGTTTGGTTCCTAGCACCCACATAGTGGCCCTCAACCCTCTGTATATTCAGTTCTAGCAAGTTTAACACCCTCTTCTGACCTTTTCAAGCACCAGGAGCACATGCAGCATACATATATACACATATACACACATGTAGGCAAAATGCTCATACACACAACCCAAATAATACATTAAAAGATTGATAGAACTCCACCTGGACATATTCCTCTCACTTCCCCAGCATCCCCACTGGACTTACTCGCTCAGAGCCTGGGGGTCCTTCTGCATCTGCTCCAGGATGAGCCTCATGGCCGGGTCACTCATTATCTGCTGCACCTCAGGGTCGGCCATGGCCCGCCGCTTCACATCCTCAGGGCTATCATGTCTATTGTACTGTGCCATCATACAGCGTTGGTAACCATCTGCTGCCTCCTGCATTCCAGAAAAGACCGAGGGAGGTAGGAGTCAACACTGCCTGAACCACTGCTTCAGCAAGTCCAAGACAACAGATCACAAAAGGAAAGAGAAGAGACAAAGAGAAACTGAAGCATGTGGGAAGGACATTAGGGACCACAGAAAAGAGCCAAAGGAGCAACGAATGGATGGGGGTGGCCCTTGCAGGACAGCAGCAGCCCACCTTACAGCTGGAGTCCAGGTCTAGCGCCTTCTGGTACACATCCATGGCTTTTGTATAGTCCTTCATGGCTTCCAGGGCAGCTGCTTTCCGTGTGTAACCCTTGACTACAAACAGGAGAGGTAAGGCACCGACTTAGTAGCTCCTGGCACCCCTTCTGCCTACATGCCCCAAAGCCTTTAACCGTAATAATCTCTGGGGGCAAAATTAGGGTACAGAAGAAAAATGAAAGAAACTTACTGAAGGTTGGCTCCAGTTGGATGCACTCTTCACAGTCCTAGGAAGGAAGGAAGGAAAGTAATCAGGCTCTTTTCCCTCTAAGGTGTCAGCTCCTGTGCCCTCCTAAGGAGCCAGACAGAGGTCTTGGTATTGACTCTGCTGCTTCTGTCAAATCCAGGCCCAGGAGATAGCAAGCTGGGCATAACACCTATAATCCCAGCACTCTGGGGGGGCATAGCAGGTAGATTTCTGTGAGTTCGAGGCCACTCTGGTCTACAAAGTGAATCCAGGACAGCCAAAACTACAGAGAGACCCCTGTCTCAAAAAGCAAACCAGACCAAACCAAAACAACCATCAACTAAACAAACAAATAATAAGAAAAAAGGAACTAGATGAACTAGAGTACCAGGAAAGACGGCTCCCAATCAACACACTTGTTATATGAGAGCAAGCTTATGAACAACACTCACTGCCTTGAGACTTGTGTTCAAAAGCCTTACACACTTTGGACAAACAGAAAAATCGAAATAAATGATCTGAGTTCCAGACCAGCCAGGGTTACAAGAGACTCTATCTCAAAACAGAAACAGAAAGGAAAGAAATGCTATAGTCACAGATCAGTGCCTAGTCAGTCCAGTTGTCACCAGAGAGGATGGTCTGGCTGTTAATGGGAGATGAAGAGACTCATATCCCAACCTGGAAGAGAGCCCAGGTTGGAGGTCTCCACTGGATCCTTCCCCTTGGAGCTTGAGAAAACCCATGGGAGAGAGAGAGGAAGAACCATGGAAGCCAGAAGGCTCAAAGACACCAAGGGAGCATGGCTTAAGGAATCAATTAAGCGGGGCTCAGGAGGACTAAAAGAAACTGAGGTGGCAATCACAGAGCCTGCATGGGTCTATGTTAGGTCCTCTGCATATTTGTGTTATGATTGTTTGGCTTGGTGTTTTGGGGAGACTCCTGAGGGTAGGATTTGGGTTGTCTTTGACATTTTGCTGCTTTTGGGACCCTTTTCCTCCTATTGGGTTGCCTTGCCCAGCCTTGATGTGGGGGTTTGGGCCTGGGCCTTATCTTGTGCCACATTTGGCTGATGTTCGTAGGAGGCCTACTCTTTGCTATGGAGACTGGGGAGTGGATCTGGGGAAAAGGGAGGTGGGTGGGGGAGGTTGTGGATGTAAACATGTTTTTGTTTTAATCCCAAATGTGGGATATGGGACTGACTCAGATTGTCCACAGTAGCAAACTATTTGCTTCATGTGGGCTCTGAGAGAGGCCCTTTGCCAGCTGCAGATAGTTTAAATTTGAGGCCTCAAAGAGAATAAGAATCAGAGCTTAGAGAGTATTGGGGAGTTCCCCAGACTGCTGATACAGTTGGATGAGAAGAAATTGGAGATATCCTGAAATGAGGATTGGATTAGCCCTAAGGAACCTGAGACCCTAACCAGCAGGGAGCAGCTAAGAGAACTGTCCCCCCCCCCCAACCTTGTTTTTCTCCTACCTGGTATTGGGGTGCTGGAAGGGATTTGGGTGGAGAAGGGAAAGAGGATTAAGAAACCAAAATAAAATAGTATAAAAAGTAACACTAACAGGGGGAAAGACTGGGAGGAGTGGAGGGAAAAGAAGCTAAAGTTGAGATATCTAAAAAAAAAAAAAAAAAAAAAAAAAAAGTCAGGCTGTGGTGGTGCAACATTTTAATCCCAGCAATCAGGAGGCAGAGGTAGGCAGATCTCTTATTTGGAGGCCAGCCTGATCTACTGAACAACTCTGGGACAGCTAGGGCTACACAGAAAAACCCTGCTTTAAAAATGAAAGAAAAAAAAAAAAGTTAAGAAAAGTACTGCCGGCACCTGGGTCAATCAGGTTTTTTTGTTTTGTTTTTGTAAGACAGGGTTTCTCTGTGTCGGATTGGCTGTCCTGGATTGCTCTGTAGAACAGACTAGTCTCAAACTTACAGAGACCTGCCTGCCTCTCCTCCCTGAGTGCTAAGATCAAAGATGTGCACCACCACGTGCAGCTGCTAAGCAGGTTTTGATGTCACCCTTGCAGCCTTAACTATAATATGTCACTTTCAGGCCACACCACAAAGATGCTGGCATCAAACAAAACTTAAAGCCCCATACTGTGGCACATCTCTAATTTCAGATGAGAGGCAAGGCAAGAGCAATTCAAATTTGAAGACAGCCCGGGCTTATACTACTGAGACCTTGCCACAAAACAAAATCAGTATCAGGAGCTTATGGGCTCTGGGTTAGGGAGGCACAAGCATGAGGACCTGCATTCATTCTCTAGTACCCGTGTAAGAAGCTGGAGAGGTAATACCTGTAATTTCAAGTACTGGGGAAGCAGTTAGACTGCTGCAGTAAGCCAAATCTCAGGTACATACCTGGTATACATATATACAAAACAGGCAAAATACTCATATACATTAAAAAAAAAAAAATACAGGAAAGGAAGAAAACATTGAGAAAGAATAGCGAGGAAAAAGCACCAGGGAATTCAGGGAAGACACAGGAACCATAGATGCTTATATAAGCTCAATCATTGACTTTTTTTTTTTTTTTTTTTTCCTGAGAATGGTTTCTTTGTGTAGCCTTGGCTGTTCTGGACTTTGTGGACCAAACTGGCCTCAAACTCAAGAGATCCACCCGCCACTGCTTACCCAGCATTGAGATTACCAACCAGACTGGGGTCAGGTAAACAAAGGCCTCCAACGTCCCCACAAACACTACCTACTGTCAACCTAGAATCCAAATAAGAACAAGGAAAAAAAAAAAAGGCTTGGTTCCTACAAAGGCTTACAGTAACTGCAGGTCTCACCTTGAGTGCCAGCTGAAACTCCAGGAGCTTGGTGTAACAGGCAGCTCGGTTGCTGTACAGTTTGGCATCTCTTGGGTTCCGTTTAATGGCTTCTGTATAGTGCTTCATGGCCTGGGGGTAGTCCCCTAGATAGTTATATAAAGACAATTTTTATTAGCTCAGCTGGCTTGGAACTTATTATGCAGCCCAGGCTGCATTCCTACCTCAGCCTCCTGAGTATTAGGATTGCAAATGTACACTTCCATGTCTAGCTAAGGATGATTTGCTATCTATTTATCTGGTTTTTGAGACAGGGTTTCTCTGTGTAGGTCAGGCAGGCCTCAAACTTAGATCCTCCCCACCACCACCCAGCTGCTTCTGTTTATTTTCACACAGGGTTTCATTCTGTAACCTACCATGTTCTGCCTATCTCAGACTCCCAATCGCTGAGATTTTCATGGATGTACCCTCAAACCAGGGTGTACAGCTTACCCAATACATTCAACATTCAACACAGTAGATTCAACCCCAAATATCACCACCACCACCACCACCACAAAAAAAAAAAAAATCTGTCTATTGCAGGATATTAGATTCCACTGTGATCCCCAAAATGGTGAACTGTAAAAAACCCTGTTTATTGTTTGGTTGAGCCCTAACACACACCTTTAATCCAAAAACTTTCTGTTTATCGTAAACAGGTGATTATATGATTTACCCAGCCCTAGCACACACCTTTAATCCAAGAGCACTCTACACCAAAGGATCTAATAAAAGTTAGCCCTAGTCAAAAGGCAGAGCAATAAACCAGATGACAAGGATTAAAGAGTGGGAAGGACTTTAAGTTGAGGGGTATTTAAGACAGTGTGGAGAAGAGGCTTTAACTTGAGCTTCAGCTCCTAAACTCTCTGGCTTTTTGGGCTTTGAACAAGCCTTCAGCCTTGGGGTTTTTGGCTTTTTCCTCCTGGACTGTCAGTTGTACTGGTGAGCCTTTTGGGCTTTTTCCATCTAGACTTGAGCTGAGAAGGAAGATTAGCTGGTTACCTTTTCTGCCTCTCTGAGCTAGCAGGTTTTCACCCCAGCATCAGGCTCCTGAGTCTTTATTGGTAAAATAGAAGGTTGGGATTTTCATCGTTTATAACATGTTTGTTTTTGAGACAGGGTCTATGTATGATCAGCTGGTCTGAACTAATTTTTGTAGACAAACCTGGAGTTCCTGCTTACATAAGCCACTCCCACTACCCAAAAAATTGGCTGGGTGGTAGTGGTGCGTGTGTTTAATCCCAGCCCTTAGGAAGCCAAGGGAGTTGGAAATGAGTTCAAAGCCAGCCTGGTCTACAGAGTTTCAGAACAGCCAGGGCTACGCAAAGAAACTCTGTCTTGAAAAACGAACACTCTCCCAACAAGCCACAACATTCAGCAGAAAGAAGGCTTTTATGATAGCCAAAATCACCCTTTCCCCACCTGAAATGTGTGCCTTGCAAGCAAGCAGAGGAAGCCACACACCAGAGCCAGGACTTCATAGACAGTACCTTTCTGGAAGCATTCATTGCCCTTGTTCTTCTCCTCCAAAGCCAAGTCAGGGTTGATATAGGCCAGTCGCTCTTGTTCCTTCAGGATTTTCTCTGCCTAAAAAAAGCAATCACTGGCATAGTAACTAAACATCTAAACATTGATTAGACTGAAATGCCAAATAGGAATTAAAAAAGAAAAATTATTTGTGTGTATGCACTTACACACTGCAGTGTGTATGTGGAAATCAGAGGACAACTTGAAGAAGTAGCTCGCTTTAAGTTCCCTGAAACATGTTGGTTCTGTGGACTGAACTCAGGTTGTCAGGCTGGGTGGCAAGCACTCTAACCTGCTGAGCCCTTTGGGTGACCCCTAATTAGAATTTTGATTTTCAGAGTTCTTTGGCAAGATTTTCATCTCATTCTTGGGCTAGAGATGTTGCTCAGTTGAGCACATAGGCACCAAAGTATATATTAAAAACATTTCTCCTTATCAAGGTACACTATTAGACTAGTACTTGCATATATTTGGTTCAAAGCTATGCCCTACTTAGGTTGGGGATGTAGCTTAGTTGTAGCATGCTCGTTTATCATACATGAGGACCTACTTCCAATCACCAGTACTGCACAGCTGTTGGCAGCCCACACCTGTGATCTCAGTTCTCATGAGGTAGAGGCAGAAGCAACTTTGTCTCTTAAAACAAACAACAAAGTCTTACATGATGGGGCTGTCAAGCTGGTGGAAAAAGAGAATTGACTACCCTAGCCCTCTGACCTCCAAACCTACACTGTGGCATGTACCTAACCCCACACAAATAAATGTATAAAATGTAAAAATAAATGACAACAAAGAGCAAACCTATGAAAGTAAAACACAGGACAATTAACTTTCTGACACTATTTAGAGGGAGTTAGTGAGGGGACTGGTTGGGATCCTTCACTATGCTACTCAAACTGGTCCTGAACTATTGTCTTGGACTCCAGAGTGGCTCAGAATACAGTCATGTGCCAGCATGCTGAGACTGATAAAGCATTTTGTGAAATTATTCCGTGCAGTGGCTTGCATAAGAATAGCCCCCATAGGCTCATATATTTGAATGCTTAGTTGTAGGGGCCTGTGAGAATATATGGGACATTGAACTGTTTATAAGAATTAGAAGGATTAGGAGGTGAGGATTTATACTAAAGGAAGTGAGTCACTGTGGATGGCCTCTGATGTTTCAAAAGCCCATGCCAGGCCCAGTCTCTCGGATTCTGTGCCTGTGTGTCTGCCACCATGCTCCCTCATAATGACAACGGACTCAAACTGCTGGCATGACCCCCAATTAAATATTCTCTCTTAAGAGCTGCCTTAGAGGCTGGAGAGACTGCTCAGAGGTTAAGAACATTGACTATTCTTCCAAAGGTCCTGAGTTCAAATCCCAACAACCCCATGGTGGCTCATAATCATAAATAATGAGATTTGGTGCCCCCTTCTGGCCTGCAGGCACAAAACTGTATAAATAATAAATTTTAAAAACAAAACAAAACAAAACAAAACAAAACAAAAGGCTGCCTTTGGTTAGCAGGTTAACACTTAAAAAAAAAACAATGCCTTTAATCCCAGCACTCTGGAGGCAGATCTCCATGAGTTCAAGGCCAGTCTGGTCTCCAGGATAGCCAGGGTTCTGTTACAGAGAGAAACGGTCTCCAAAAACAAAAGTTGCCTTGGTTATGGTTTCTCCTCATAGCAATAGAGGAGCAAGTGTAAGACACTCTACCACATTATTTATTACAAATAGTAGCATACTACTCTCGCTATTAAAATATTGAGATTGGGCGTGGAGGTGCCAAATCCCAGCATTCAGGAGGCAAAGGCAAGTAGATTTCTGTGAGCTCTGGGCCAGTCTGGTCTAAACAGAGTTCCAGGAAAGGCAGGACTACATACTAGAGTGACCCTGTCTTACCAATCTCTCCAAAACAAGAAAAATAAATTATAACAATGATATCAGAACCTTGCTAATAGGGCCACAGCATTTCCTACATGACATTACCAAGCAACTGGGCTAGAATCATGTAAATGGACCCAACTTATCAAATGATAAACAGTGACAACCATTAAGAACATAACAGCCGGGGTTGGGGATTTAGCTCAGTGGTAGAGCGCTTGCCTAGCAAGCGCAAGGCCCTGGGTTTGGTCCTCAGCTCTGGAAAAAAAAAAAAAAAAAAAAAAAAAAAAAAGACAAAAAAAAGAACATAACAGCCAAGGCTACAGAAATGGCTCAGTGGTTAAGAGTACTGGCGGCTCTCCTAGAGGACCTGGGTTCAATTCCCAGCACCCACACACAGCTTACACTCATCTGTAACTCTACTTTCAGGGGATCCAATACCCTCACATATACATGCAAGCAAAACACTACTGAACATAAATATAAAAACAAAACCCCACAAACAAATAACAACAAAAAGAACCCAATTTACGATAGCACAATTCTTTTCAGACTCACCTGCTGGCACTTCTTGAGCACGTCTGGGGTTCGGTGCTCTGCCAGAGATTTGTTGTAGAAATGGATAGCATCCTTGTACTTTTCTTCTTTGAAATAGGAATTGCCAATTCGGGCGTAAGCTCTGATGAAGACGAAGGGAAAAGGGCAGAGTAAAAAAAAGGTAAACCCTCAAAGAAAATACACACTGATTACAAGCAAAGCTGACACTACAACCTAGAAACCCTGCCCTCCCAACAAGAGTTTCAGTCTACCACAGTGGGTTCAGCGGCATACTTGGCGATCTGTCGATAGTCCTCTCGGTTCTCTCTGCCCACTTCAATGGCCTTCTCACAGAGCTCCCGGCATTTGTTGTAGTCACCCTTCTCAAAGTGCACAGCTGCCAAGCAGAAAGGTGAGAAACAGTCAGTCCTTGTTTCTTCCCTCAAGACTGCCTAACAGCTCTCTTGCCCTTGGTTTCTGGGCCTCACCTGCTTGATTAGTTATGTAAGTCATATTGGTGGGGTCCAGTTCCTTGGCCTTGTCATAATGCTTCAGGGCCTTGTCAAAATCTTTCTTCTTGTAGGCATCATTTCCCAACTCCTTTTCTTTCAGTGCCTAAATGGGGTTGGAACAAGTGAGGGCTTAGCATCTCTACTAGATGGCAGCAAGAGCAGCAGAGTCCATACTCTGTCAGGTATCAATCAGCACAAGCCTCCAACATGAGCAGGAAGTAAGTTCTCCCTCAAAAAGGCCTCTTCATAAACTAACCAGAGTCACGTGAGTCTTGACTTGTACTTGATCTTTACTTCCTGACACTGACTCCTTTTCCTCATCTAATCTCTTGGAGCTTTACCAGGTAGCAGAGGATTCTCTGAGGGAGAGGAAATCCTCTCAACTCAAAGAATCTGAAGATCATGTAATTTTGAGAGGCAGACACAGGCTGGTTGTTGTGGCCATCTTGGGATCCTAGCTGTTAGGGACAGCAGGCATGGTAAGGGGATTGCAAAGGGCCAAAGGAACAGCAGGAGTCTTCAGCAGTCTTCAGAATCACTCTCTCCACCCACACAGAGGGCCCTTTTCCAGCTGAGACACCCTGAGCAGTCAACACTCCCCCATTTAAGAACACTATCTTTGGCAACAATCTGCTGTTCCTGACTATGAGAAGGGAAACACAATTCTTTAGGCACATGTCTCCTGCTCTCAAGTGTGTTGCTAAGTGGACACCCACCTCCCACCACTTCTAACCAGGAGGCCAAAGCGTCAGAACTGATGCAGACACCATGCCCTGATGAGAGCAGGAACCAGTATCCCTCACAATCTATCTACTCTACTCAATGTTCATGCCGACAGCTCCATTTTCACTGCTGAAGCACTCAGAAATTCAGCATTACTAAGAAATGGCTTGTAAAGAGCATCGTTTTCAAACCTAACACTTAAAAAACAAACACCAGGGTCTCCCTATGTAATGCAGGCTGTCTTCTAACTCATAATCCTCCTGTAATCACAGGTATTATTTCTGATGTATCTTATATATCTACTAAAATAAGTTTTGGGGCTGGAGAGATGGCAGTTAAGAGCACTGGCTGCTCTTCTGAGGACCTGGGTTCAATCCCTAGTACCCACGCAACAGGCCACAACTGTCTGTAATTCCAGTTAAAGGGGATCTGGCACCCTTTCACAAACATATACGCAGGCAAAGCACCAAAGCACACGGAGATAAAAATAAACGAAATCTTAAACAAACAAACAAAAAGAGCTAGGTGTGGTGATGTACCCCTTTAATCCCTGCATTTGACACAGAAGCTGTGATTTCAAGGCCAGCCTGGTATACAAAGCTAGCCCAGAACAGTTAGGGCTTGATAGCTTGATACATAGAGAAACACTGCTTCAATAAATAAATAAACAAACGAACAAAAAACAATCAAACAAGTTTTTGGTGGCAGACACCTTTAATCCTAGCACTCAGTAGGCAGAGACAGGCAGACCTCAGAGTTTGAGGCCAGCCTGGACTATACAAAGAAACCTTCAGAAGTTAAGAGCGAGTGTTGCTCTTAGAAAGGGCCCAAGTTCAGTTCCCACTACCCAGTGGTTCACAACTGTTCATCTGTTAACTGCCAGATGATCTGACACCTTTTTGTAAACCTTCATGGAGTACCGGCATAGATACATACATGCAAGCAAAACACTCATAATCATAAACATATATTTCTTGGGGGGGGTGCTTTTTAAAAAAAGATTTATTTATTATGTATACAATATTCTGCCTGCATGTATGTCTGCAGGCCAGAACAGGGTACCAGATCTCATTATAGATGGTTGTGAGCCACCATGTGGTTGCTGGGAATTGAACTCAGGACCTCTGGAAGAGCAACCAGTGCTCTTAACCTCTGAGCAATCTCTCCAGTGGGAGTGGGGTGCGAAGGCAGCTTTTTTTTTTTTTTTTTTTTGAGAGAAGGTTTCTCTGTAAGCCTCAAACTCAAAGAGAACTGGCTACCTCTGCCTACTCAGTGCTAGGACTAAAGGCATATGCCACCAGTGTCAGGCAAATTTTTTTTGTTGTTACTATTTGTTTGGTTTTTCAAGACAGGGTTTCTCTGTGTAGCCCTGACTGTCCTGGAATTCACTCTGTACACCAGGGTGGCCTCAAAATCCAGAGATCTGCCTGCTTCTGCTTACTGATTGCTGGAATTAAAAGGTGTGCCACCACTGCTCAGCTCTGGCGGCAGAATCAGGCAGGCCTCAGAGTTTAGAGTCAGCATAGTCTGTAAAGCAAGTTCCAGGAAGCTAGGCCTACAGAGAAACCTCACTGCAAAACAGACACTTGTGAGCGCACGCATGTGTGCATGCCATCTGTGCGCCTGGTGGCCACAGAGGGCGTCAGATCCCCGCAACTGCAGTTACTAATGGTTCTCAGTCACCAAGTAGATGCCGGGAATCAAAACAAGGTCCTCTGCAAGGAATAACTGCTTTAATTGCTGAGCATCTCTCCAGCCCTACTGTTTTATTTACTTACGGGTTTAAGCACAGACGCCATGATGTGTGTGTAGAGGTCAAAGGACATGTTACAAAATATTTAGTTCTTTCTTACCATGTAGATCTCGGATGGAAATAAGGTTAACCTTTTCCTACTTAGCCTCTGGTACATGTATTTTTTTTCTTTCAGGCACAATTTCACTATGTTGCCCAGGTTGGTCTCAAAACACCTGCATCCCAGGTGATCCTCTATTCTCAGGTCACTCAAGTAACAATAATAAGCTTAGAACATACTAAGTATTCAAAATTATGGACTAGGGAGAGTCAATGGTCAGCTGGTGAAGTGCTTGTCTAAAGGCACAGGGACCTGAATTCAATTCCCCAAAATCCATGCAAAGAGTTAAGACAGGATAGCAGTAGCCGTGGAGTGATGATGACTCTGCAGTTAAAAGCACTTGCAGAGGACCCACAAAGGTGGCTTACAATCGCCTATTAACTCCAAATCCAAGGAACTGACAACCTCTTCTGGCCTCCATGGGCAATAGGCATGAATGTTGTAGTGGTCTGAATTGTAAGGCCCCATAGAATTGTATGTTTTAATGCTTGGCCATAGGGATTGGCACAATTAAGAGGTTGTGGCCTTGTTAGAGGAAATGCGTCACTGTAGAGGTGGGGCTTTGAGGTCTTAAAAGCTCAAGCTGTGCCCAGTGTGAAGCACAGACAGTCTCTTCCCGCCTTCTTTCCAATCAAGATGCAGAACTCTTGGCCCTCCGCACCATGTCTGTCGGCACACTGCCACGCTTCCCACTACCATGATCATGAACTAAATCTCCAAAACTGTAAGGAAGCCCCAATTAAATGTTTGCCTCTATAAGGACTGCCTAGATTGCCAGGCAGTGGTGGCACACGCCTTTAATCCCAGAAGTAGAGAGGCAGGTGGGTCTCTAAGTCTGAGGCCAGCCTTTTTTACAGTAAGACACTGTTTCAACATTTACAACAAACAAAACATAAAACTTTACTAATTCCAGCAGCTAGAAGGAGAATCATCCCGAGTTTAAGGCCAGCCTGGGATGCAGAATGGAACTGTTTCTGAAGGTGTCAAACCGAGGGCTTTATGTATACTAGCAGGCATTCTGCAAACTGAGCCATTATCCCCACCTAGCCCCAAACCATTTCTCAGTTACAGTCTGCACACTTGACCATTTAACATTCTTATTTCTAGTTGGTTTGCCTGTACGTAAATGCACGATAGTTTAGAGGAGAAAAAAACAAGACCTGTTTCTTATTCTCTGGAAGATCCTCTTCCATTGGTTCTGGCTTGGCTTCCTTTTTGGGAGGAGGTGGGGGTGGGGGTGTTGCTGCCTCTTCCTCTTCATCCATACTGCCCAGATCAACCCCGAGGAGGACACTGAGAGTAGTCATGACCCGGGGATCTTGGAGTTTTCTAGATTGATAACAAAGACTGGGCTGGAGAAATGGCTTTGTGGTTAAGAGGGCAAACTGTTCCTACAGAGACTGTTCCAAACCCCATGCTGGGTAACTCCCAACCTCTGGAAGGTCTACCTCTAGGAAAGCCCAACCTCTGGTGCTCTCAGGCACCTCAACTCACATGCACATGCCCATACATACACACAAGCACACATAACCTAAAAAAATAAAGTAAAAATGTCAAGCCAGATGTGGCAGTGCACACCTTTAATCTTGGGAGACAGAGGAGGGTGATCTTTGAGTTCAAGGACAGCCTGGCCTACAGCTAGGGCTACACTGAAAAACCCTCAGAACAAATTAAAAAGAGAGAGGCTGTGCACTATGGCACAGCCAGTAATCCCAGTATCCAGGGAAGCAGAGGCAGGCAGATCTCTGTGATTTTGAGGCCACCCTGGTCTACAAAGCAAGTCTAGGATAGCCAAAACTATACAGGTTTTACCCCCCCCCCAAAAAAAAAAAACACCAAATAATTATCTTCAAAGAGAAGCAAAGGCTTGGAGAGATAGCTCAAAGATTTAGAGTGCCTATGGCTTGGGGCTGGAGAGATGGCTCAGAGGTTAAGAGTACTGGTTATCCTTCCAAACGTCCTGAGTTCAGTTCCAGGCAAGTGTGTGGTGGCTCATAACTAGTCTACAATGAGAGCTGGTGCCCTCTCCTGTCGTGTATGCATATATGCAAACAGAATATTGTATAAAATAAATCTGAAAAAAATGGTGGAGGGGTGCCTGGGTGCCTGTGGCTCCAGCACGAGGGCCAGAGCTAGATCCTAGCACCCCTATCAGGTGGCTCACAAATGCTTAACTCCAGCTGTAGGAGGAAAAAAAATCTTTAAAAAAGCAAGACAAGTCAGGTTTAGTGGTACATTCCTTTAATCTGGCACTTTAGAGGCAAAGGCTAGTGGATCTCTCAGTTTGAGGCTAGCCTGATCTACATAGTGGTTCTAGAATACTCAGGGTAATGCAGAAAAACCGTCTCAAAAAACAAAAGAACAACAACAACAGGAAAAAAAAAAAATTCAACCAAGTAGCTGGAATTACATGTATTATAATTGTGCCTGTAATTAACTAATTAATTGCCTGGCTGCTACAATTGCCCCTACCCTGTTCACTGTTAACAGATTCCTATATATAGACAGTTCACAGACAGAATATTTGCCTAGCATGGGCAAGGTCCTGGATTTGATCTGATCCTCAGCACTACAAAATAGGCAAAACTAGAATTACAGGAGAGGAGGGATTAGAAAAAACATCTGAGTGCTCTGCTATTACAAGCTACCCAACCCTTTCTATAAATTACACCACCCACTCAGCAGTCCAGACCGAGCGCTTCTAGTATACCTGTGGCTGTACTTACGTGCCCAGGTCTGAAGGCTTGTTCTGAAGCTGTTCTATGAGTTCCCGGTAGGTGGGGTCATTAAGCAGGGTCCTTGTCCTGGGATCATTCTCCAACTTCTGGTACAGATTAGGCAAGTTGAAAGGATTCATGAATTTCCTTTCTGTCCAAATGAAAGAAAGCGCATCAGCATGAAATGTTTACTTGAGTCACCGTGACACCACATACCCCACCAACCCACCCCCCCCTTCACTTTGGGGACGGCAGGACTCTTTTCCATTACATAAAAGATGTGGGTACCCACCTGCCAGCCTGGCCTCCATGTTCTGCAAGCCTTCCTTAAGCTGGAGGTTATTGGCTTCATGTTTTAAACCCTCTTCGTAGGTTCGTTTGGCTTCTTCAAATCGGTTTAGAAACTCAAGGGCTGCTGCTTTTCTTGAATAACCCTTAACACCCCCAAAATTATAGAAAATAGAGGTCATGCACAAGTACAAATCAACTCAAAAGCCTACTAGGGTTTTGTTTTTACTCATGTAGTGCATGGGGGTTCTCCCTGCATGTGAATTTATACACCACATGTATGTCTGCTGTCTACAGAGGCCAGAAAAATGGCACTGGATTCGCTGGGACTGGAGTTGAAGACAGTTATGATCTACCATGTGGATGCTGAAAATTAAACCCAGGTCATCTGTAAGAGCTGTCGGTTCTCTTTAACAATAAAGTCATCTCACCAGTCCCCTTCCCCCTTTTACCTAAGACAGAGTCTCATTATGTACTCTGGGTGGCCTCCACCTATGCCGATCTCTACTTCCCAAGTGCTGGGATTAAAGGCATATGCTACTCTGGTTGGCCCTCCTGTCATGTACTTTTTAGACCCACAAGACATTCCAATGCTGACACTAAAAAGAATCCAGGCAAAGGTACATAAATCACCATGCAACCCATGGGCACAAGCTGCCAGTTTCTTTAGTAATTCCTTATCTGTACAACTAATAAAAGCTGTTTTACAACTGATGGTAACAAACTTAGAGAAGTAAGTGTCTCCTTCAAGGGGTACCTTCAGATAGGTGGGCAAGCAGATCATAAGGAGCAATCTATAGTCATCTAAACAGGTCCGGAGGGCTGCTGATGGGGCACTGCAGACCAGACCCACAGTCCTCAGGAAAACCGTACAGCTTGACTCGTCAGCTTACCTTGCCCCAGTCAGGCTTCAGGTCAACAGTCTTGCAGCCGTCCTCATAGGCCTTCTGGTAGTCCCCCTTCTTGGCATAGGCTGCAGAGCGATTGCTATAGAGCACATGGTTCTGGGGATCTAGTTTAATTGCCTCAGAGTAGCACTGTAAAGCATCGTCGATGTTGCCAGCACTCAGGGCCTTGTTGCCCTTCTCCTTCAGCTCATTCACCTGAGGGAAGGACGGCACCAACAGACTTCACTCCACAGAAGGCTCATTCTCTCCCCTGGGGTGTTAGATCACACTCAGTCTTCCTAAGCATGAACTGGGTGGTCACAACTGATCAAGAGAAAAAATCCTAATCCATCCACATTCTGCCTCACCTCTGGAAATGAGCAGGGAAAACAAAGCAGAAGCACCAAGACTTCTCTGCCCTCCACTGGTGGAGGCTGGCAGAGAACTCAGCTCTCCAGAGCACACAGACTCCTAGGAGATGCAAATTCACTTGTCAAAGCTTTCCAAAGATCTGAATTGTAAACTGAGTGCAGGAAGAGCTGAACATGTTCAGATATACGATTGAGAAGCCACATGGTGTCACACACCTGCACTCCCAGTACTCAGAAGGCTGAGGCTGAAGGAATTTGAGCTCCAGGAAAGTTATACTAGAAACTACTGTCTATAAAAACAAAAAATAACAACAAAAACAAACAACTCTATGATGTGAGCCCAATGAAATGGCTCAGTGTGATGAAACACTCAAGCCTGACAATCTTAGTTTGATACCTGGACAGTTAAGAGGGTGGAAGAGAACCAACTCCATGAGTTGTCCTCTAACCTCCACATACACACATCTGCCTGCACAAACCATGTACATACATGCTCTAGTGCCCTAGAAGCTTCAGAGGAAGAGGCTCTTATTCCTCTGTGTTCATTATGGCTCTACTGTCATCTCAAAGACAAATGGGACTTTACTGTGCTGATCCTTAAGGACAAAACTGGTCCCCACCAAGTTCCTGCTGAGACTTTACTATTAGGCTATCAGAAAGAGGAGGAGTATAAAGACAAATATCAACTAATCCCATTGTCTGTTGCAAGGAGCTTCATAAGTGAAGGAGACCTTGCCTAAGCAGAATGCTGACTTTCCTTTGTCATAGTCACTACAAAGTCACATCTCTAGCCTTCCCCCTCCCCTTAACATCTGCGACAGGGTCTCAATTTAATTTTGAAGGCTAGACTTGAACTTGAGATCTTCCTGTTTTGCCCTCCCACTATCCTATAGAAGTCTAAGACGGCTTTTCTTTTCATTATCTGCGTGTGTATGTATAAAGGGTTTTTCTTTACCATGCTGACCTATAAAAGGTCTGGAACTTCACACTGCTGAGCAGTGGGGGCCCATGCCTCGGAGGCACAGGCAGGCAGACCTCCGAGTTCGATGCCAACCTGGTCTATAGAGCAAGTTCCAGGATAGCCTGGGCCACAAAGAAACAAACTCAGTCTCAGGAAAACAACAAAAAATACCACACATAAGCCCAGCTAGGGGAAACTACAGCTTCATAAGCCCCCCAACACACATACACCTGGTTTTCCAAGACAGGGCTTCTATGTAGCCCTGGCTGTCCTCAATCTCAGGGATCTGCTTGCCTCTGGCTCCAGAGTGCTGGTATTAAAGGTGTGTGCCACCATCGCCAGGCCCCACAGCTTCCTTTCAAAGGCAAGCACAAAGTGAATACAAGCAGAGTAGGAGTCACACTTATGCCATGGGGTTGGGGATGTAACTTGGCAGCTGAAGACCAGGTTGGATCCCAGAACCAGGCATGTGGACATATACCTGTTATTACAGCACTTATGAAGTAGAGGAAGGAGAGTAAGAAGGTCATCTCTTGGCTATATACAGCAAGTTCAAGGCCAGCCTGGGATACATGAGACCCTAACTCAAGCAAGCAAGGCCAACCCAGAGTCAAGCCACACTGAGGTTATTAAAAAGCTTTTATAAAATTATCATCTACTCAAGATTTAGTAGGTTGACATAAAATTTACTTCTTTCAGATGCTTTTAGAACCCTAAGGCACACCCATCAGGAGCTTCCATGGAGCAGAGGTCCTAAAGCACAGGTAAACCGGGTTTGCCCTGTAATCTCAGCACCTAGGAAAAGGCAGGAGACCCTGTTCTCAAGGAAGGAAGATGAAGGATAAGCAGAAGTAAAGAAAAAGACCAAAATTCCATTCCTTTACAGGAATGCCAAGGGAGAAAAAGTGCAAATAGTACACAAATAAAAATACATCTCTCTGTTGCAGTCAGGGTCTCTATGTAGCTCTGGCTGCCCTGTAACTCCAGTATGTAGACAAGGCTAACCTAACTTAGAGCTCCATCTGCCTCTGCCTCCGGAGTGTTGGGATTAAAGACCTGCGCCACCACACCTGGCATTAAAAATAATGTTTTGGGTTTTTTTGAGAATTGGGTCTCCCTAAACAACTCTGACTGTCCTATTACTCAGAGATCAGCTTGTCTCGGCCTCATGAGTGTTAGGATTAATGTCATGCATCACTACACCTGGAAAAAATAAATCTTAAAAATGCAAACTATGCATGACTATAGGATTAACCTCAGAGTTCTGTTCTTCAAATACATAATTTTCAATATTCAAATTTATTTTCTGTGTGCACGCCAGTGCAAGGGGCAGAAGCTGGAAGTCAGGGTGTCTTCCTCTATTGCTCTCCACCTTATTCTTTGAGACTGGATCTCTGAAGGAACCTGGAGCTCACAGACTGGCTAGTGTGCCCTGAGATCCTCCATTCTCCCTTCCCCAACAACTTTTTAGTGGGTGCGACAATCTGAACTCAGGTCCTCATTCTTACACATCAAACTATTTACCAACTGAGCCCTCTCCAAGCCCAACACTCGAATCTGCCCAACCTCATCCTAAGTTTGCAGTCCTGAGCTCAGCCATTCCCTTACAATTCAGACACACACTTGTATAACGGCAGGCAGGGTCTTTTTTTTTTTTTTTTCCTGAGGAAGTTAGGATGGGTGTACAGCTATCGTAGACCGTAAGCTCCGAATTCTCCAGGCCCTGGGTTCAATCCCCAGCACCACATACTAGATAAATGAAAAATGAATGAATGAATGATAAAAGAGAACAGTCCCTTTTTGTTCTAACAGAGCAAAGTGCTCCTTATTCCAAACAGCATTTTGTCTGTACTGCAGCCTATCTATCCCAGATACCCATAATTACTTCAAGGGTACAAAAACTTGATTAACTCCTCCAATTCCAGTCTTACTAATGAAACATGGAGGCCCCGCTATTCCAGAACAAAAGGCTTCAGTTTGTCCATCACAGTAAAAGTAGTAAGCTGTTCTCCTTTCCGTGTGCGTCTGGATGAAACACAACGGTTCAATGACAGCTTCCAAGGTAACAAAACCTCTTCAGGCCTCTCTCAGATGCGGGCCACTGTGGCCCGAGCTAAGTCATCAAGGAAAGGGCACCAGGTTTGCCTCTTTGCCACAGATGCTGAGCGGGAGAGGCAGAGACTTCTAGCTCCTCACTATCGGCTCGCAACTGTCTGAAACCACTAAATCCCGTGTAATCGGAAACGGAATTTCCAAGCGTCGGATCCTCAGTCACCCTACGGCCACTAAGGAAAAAAAAGGGGGGGAGGGGCGACATATGCATCTGGAGCCTCGGGGAGCCTCGGTGACACTGTCCGCGCCCGCCTCCCCTGCACGGCCGCGCGGGCCCCCTTTCCCGGGCGCACGCAGATGCCGTGCCCCCCGAAGGCTGCCCGGGTGAGATCGATCACCGGATCCCTCCAAGTTCGCCGAGGCCGACGGGGGCCTGCCTGCGCCTAGACGGCCCGGCCCCCAGAAGCCTCGGGGCCCGACCGCAGCCCGGGCCTGCGCCCGCTCCGCTCGGCGGGTCGCGGGGGCGACGGGCGCTCCCCACTCTCCCCTCACACGCCCGACCGCGGCCTTCTCGGTCGCGCGGCCCGGCCCCCGACCTCCCGCCTCTCCCCGCCGCTCTGCCTGCGCCGCCGCGGGGCTCCGGCCGCCCCTCCCCCTTCACCTGCTCCATAGCTTGGCCCGGAACCCCGTTGAATCGAATTCGTCCGCTCCGCGTTCCCAACCGCACGCGCCGCCTTCTGGAACCTACTAGAAGCTGCCGGGACCCCCGGGTTCCCGCCCCTTCCTCGCCTGCTCACTGGTTGAGCGCCTCCAGGAGCCCTTCGCTCTCCTGCTATTGGCTTTAAATTCCGTCAATCATCTTGACTTCGCTCTCATTGGTTCTCTGCGGGTCTTCTCTTCAGCCCTGCCTCCTCTGCATCTCGGGATTGGGCGCTCCGCGACAAGCCCCGCCCAGATCACGGCTCGGCGAACTGAGGGAGGAGCGGACCTTGACGACACGGATTGGTTGGCGAGTCCGTCAATTGTGGGCAATCTGGCCGCGCCCATTGGTCCTGTTCTTTCTGGAAATTTCCACGACTCTTATTGGGCTGGAGGACTCCTAGACAGAACCGCCTTTAAAAAAAAAAAAAAAAAAAGAAAGAAAAAGTTCAATTGGGCGGCTGGTGGGCAGAGGTTGGCGCTGATTGGTGTAGGCCGCTGCCCTGTAAGGGGGCGCTCGGCCGGTGGTTTGTGGGAGCAGGAATCTGGCCGGATGTCGCCGAGGCCCCGGCCCCGGCGTTGTGGGCTGGGCTCCCTTAGCCGGAGCGTGTCGGTCGTGGCGGTCCAGCCGGCTGGTTGACAGTCCCGGCCGGCCCGCATTTCCCACGTCCTGGCTGTTAGGCCCCGAATAACTCCCGAAATGCCGCGGGGCGGTAGACAGGCCTGCGTTTTGCCCGCGGTGGCCCGACCGACGGCCGCGTGTCCTCGGTGAAGCCGCACACCCTCTCTGAAACTCGAGTTGCAAGCTTCGGTCACCGAGGGCCTGCCGACAGAAATGTTGTTTTGGTTGCAGGCTTGGCGGTGTGGTTTATGGAAAAATAAGGGCTGAGGAGGGGTTTTGAGAGAGCTTGGATGAGGGGCTTGGGCTCTGTGGTGCTGTGTGCGCGCCAGCGGAGCCAGTGCACACCCTCTCCTTACCTGTTCGCTTTTACTTAGTTTTCCTGCCTTGCTCAAGATTAGAGGAGGGGGGCGGTGGTGGCATACACCTTTCGGGAGTTCCAGGATAGCCAGAGCTACCTATACTAGAGCTACATAGTGAGACCCTGTCTCAAAGAGAGACAGACAGACATCTGGTCTACATGGTGAGTTCCAGGACAGTTACATAGTGAAACCCTGTCTCAGAGAGAGAGAGAGAGAGAGTATGTCCTGGGCTGGGATCTGTAACCTGCCTGGAGTTGCCAACCTTTCCCAACTCTTTCCAGGTGCCAAACTCAAGCGATCTCTCCTAAGTCCTCTTATTTTCTTTTTGTTTTTTCATTATTACTCTTTAGCCCAGGCAACGTCGAACGTCCTGGCTTAAGCTTCCAGTGTCCCAGTAAAGTCACATTGAACACTCAAGAGATGTGAGCTCTTACCAGGTCCCTGACGACCTTGGCTTTCTCACACCTCTGATATGAGCTGAGAGTTGTGCTAGGAAAGCCAGTGTCCCCTTCTCCCCTCTCAGGCCACTTGAATACAGCAGAGTCACTACAAAGGCATCTGGCCCTGTGCATTCCCTGAGAGTCCCTGTGTGATTCAGGCCTGTGTTCCAGAGTGCTGTTCAGGGTGAGGAGAGGGAAGGGAAGGCTGTGTCTGGAGTCAGAGACCTCTGTTCCTGCAGAGCAAACATGGCAGTGTGTGCGGTGGGGGTGGGGGAGAAAAGGGGGTCAACAGTGCTTCCTGCTCAGGATTCTGGGAGATCTTCCACTGTGGGAATGAGGATTTGAGATAACCCTGGCTTCCTTCCCCCAATGAGGACAAGGTTCTGTTGAGGGTTCTTTGTGGCCCACTATTCTCAGTGGTTCTGACTCCTGGGTCTCCTGCAAAGAGGTTGAGTCCTGATAAGTTGGAGGAAGTTCTTTTCAGTTCTTGTGAGCCTGCATGAAGCACCAGGCCCTATGCCAGATGCTTGGAGGACCAGAACAATGGTAATTATCTAATCACTAATCAGACAGCTGAGGGCAGCATGGGGGCTGGGTGTCTCCACCAGCCTCATGGTTATAAATACCATCTCAAGTGACTCCTAGAATTCCAGCTTCATGTCAGAGCTTCCAACTCCCAGGCTTGTCTGACCGGCTACCTCCTGACTTCTTCCCTTAGTGTCTGGTATACACTTCCAGGAGTTCAGGTCAAGATCCAGTATTGTCCTCCAGCCTAGTAGTCTGTTGATAGTAACATCACTAGACCTCTAGTACTTTTATGTGGAAGCTGAATTTATGTTTCATTCCTCCCCACCCCAGAGCTCTGGCTGTGTAGCCCCAGAGTGACTTTGAATTTGAAATCCTGCTTCTGCTGCCCAAGTGCTGGGATCACAGGCCTGAACCATCATGCTCAGCTTCCTTGAGTCTTGTCATTCACACTCAGTCCACGGGAAAATCCAGTCATCTGGAGGGACCTGGCACTTCTACCCATGACTGCAAAGGAGAAAGCGTGTTGACCCCCTGCTGTGGTGGACAAAGTGAGAGGGAACAACTTTGGAGCACGCTTTTCAAGGGGCTTCCCAGCCTGTGCCCCAAGGTCATGTGTTCAGTGAGGCGTGCAGGAAGGTAGGTAACAAATGAAGGCTAACAGGAGACCACTGAGGTGAGGCCAGCCACCTCAGCCGTGGCAAAAAGGAGCTCAGAATCCCCTCAAGGGTTAGGGATTACACTATTTCTCAACTGGGGACCACTACATGAGGAAAGAAGCTCAGTTTCTGGGATAACATTTCTTGCCACTGAAAGAGGTTCGTGAGTGTTTGCCTACATGTGTGTCTGTGCACATGTGGGAGCCTGGTTTCCATAGACACCAGAAGAGAACATGGCATCCCCTTGAACTCAAGTTACAGGAGGTTGTAATCTACCATGTGGGTGCTGGAAACCAAAACCAGGTCCTCTGCAAGAGCGTAAGTGCTTCTAACCACTGAGCCATCTCTTCAACCCTGTCCTGTCCTTTTAAAAAAATCTTTTTTTTTTTTTTTAAGGCAGCTCAGTCTCCATGTCACTTAGTAAGGGGACCAGGGATTGTCTCTGACATGAACTCTGTTGCCTGCTTGTCAATCACTTCCCCCAGGCAAGGTAGACTTGCCAGGACACAGAGGAAGAGGATGCAGGCAGTCCTGAAAAGACTTGATCGCTGGAGTCAGTTGGTAAAGGAGGAGGGCTCCCCCTTTCTGAGGTCTAGGGGAGGGATTCGGGAAAGAGGGAAGGAGGGTGGGACTGGGAGGAGACAAGGGAGGGGGCTATGATTGAGATGTAAAATGAATAAATTAATTTAAAAAAGGGAAAAAAGAGAATAATGAGAAACAGGAAAAAAAATGGTCTTTTTTATTTTTGAGACAAGGTATCCCTAAGTAGCCTTGGCTGGCCTGAAACTTGCTATATACTAGGTTGGCCTTAAACTCACAGAGATCCACCTGCCTCTGCCTCCCCAAGGCAGGGATTAAAGATGTCACCACACTAGGCCTTATAAACGTCTTTGAGACAGCATCTCTTGTAACTGGGACCTGCCTCCAATTTCTGATCCTTCTGCTTCTACCTCCCAAGTGTTGGCATTATAGGTGTGAACTACTTACTACTACATCTGTCTTTGGCTGTTTACCTTTGTTTTTATTTATTGTTTATTATTTTGTTTGTGAGATGTATGATGTGGGTCTGATAGAGCACATATATAGTGATTGGAATTTGGTTTTCTTCCACCACCATGGGTTTGGGGAACTGAATTTGAATTACCAGGTTTTGTACACGTGCTTTTACCTGCTGAATCATCTCATGAAGCTTACTCATCTGTTTTCGATGCAGAGTTGTATGTATTCCTGGCTGACCTCAAACTCACTATGTAACCAGTGGTGGCCTTGAACTCTGGATCCCTCATGCCAGGATCACAGGTGTGCAGCACCATACCCAGCTCCTCTGACCTTTTGAATTTTTTATCTTACCATCTGGCAAACCTGTACAGTGCATCTCAAGTTACCTTAAAATTTCATTGACTAAAGAAGAATTCTATTCTTTGACGAAAATAAGCAAACCAGGGGCTGAAGGGCTGGCCTAGTGGTTAAGAGTGCTTGCTGCTCTTGCAGAGAACCTGGATTCAATTCCCAGTATCCATATGGCAGCTCACAACTGTCTGCAACTCCAGGTCTAGAGGGTTAGCACTCTCATCTCTGTGGTCAGCAGACACTCATGCAGTGTACATGCATGCAGGCAGGCAAAGCACAAATTCAATAAAATTCAAATACATCTATAAAGCAAAATAAGCAGCTCAGGGTCAGTACTAAAGTACTAAAGTACTAAAAGTACTTGCTTCAAGGCCAGCCTGGTCTACAAAAGGAGTCCAAGACAGCCAGGGCTACACAGAGAAACCCCATGGGGCCGGGGAGAGCACTTGCTAACAAGCCTAATGACAGGAGTTCAATCTTCAGTTCTCAGAACCCAAAGAAAAAGCCTGACGCAGTGATGTGCATCTGTAACGTCCAGTGCAGAAGAAAAGTGAGGGACCCTGACTCAGCAAGGTGGGGAGGGGCTTGAACTATGGCTCCGTAGTTGAAATCACATACTGTTCTTGCGAGGATAGGAGTTTGTCTCCCAGGCCTGTTACAGCTGTCTGAAAGTCCAGCTTCAAGGGATCTGATGCCCCTGGCTTCTGCAAGCACTCAAAACTTAATCCTCCCCAACATGAATACATATATATACACATATATTTAAAAATAAAATAAATATGGGCTAGAAAGATGGCACAGCAGTTAAGATAAAGTAGTGCTCTTGCGGAGGATTTGAATCTAGTTCCTAGCTCCCATGTCGCAGGAATCAAAGACTCACAACCCCATAATTCTAGCTCCAGGAATGCTGATGTCTCCTTGGGTACCTGCACTCACATGCACATATACACATACAAACACACACACATACACAAAAGATATTTAAAAACAAGGTAGGTGGAGGGTAAGAACAAACTATTGAAAGTTGTGACTTCCACACAAATGCTGTGATGCTCACACCCACACTAATATACACACAAACACACACAGAAATTATAAAAATAAAACCAGCATACCAGAG